CAGGAGGGAATAAGGAAGCGTAATGGTCGCGAAGTTTCCTACGGGATGCAAATTTGCCGAGATATGTGTTCCGAGCCCGAACAAAATGGAATCGGAACATTTTTCCATCCCCAGGATGACGTTTAGTTATGAGTGGATGTGTCCCGGCGTTTTACACAAGGGGAAAGGAAACGGGATGATATGATAAATGGCGACAAGCGCCCGGACGCCTTCTTTAGAACCACCTCAACGTGAATTCTTTTTTATAATTTTTTTTTCGTTTTCGTCTCTCGCAACTAATCAACGCTTCCGCGAATGGAAAGAAGACTCGTTATCAAATTAATTCTATGAAAGGTACACACGAAGCGAAGCGCTTTTTTCCTCGACACATAATTGGATGGGGGGAATATGAAAATTGGGTAGCCTTAGCTTATTGCGTTACGTTATTTTTTTTTGTGTCAGCGCATAATTTTATTTGAAATTATATACTTTTAAAAATAAATGAAGTACTTAAATAAAACCGGAAGATACGCGTTTTCTCCGATCGCTATAAATCAGAAAGAAAGCCCCGAATCACTTAAATACGTCCTGTTCTATTTCCCCATTGATTCATTGATTCCGGCGGCCGTTCAGATTCCTCGGCGATAATAAAGCGTCCCGACGCCGGGCGCCGCCTCTCCCCGAGAGAAATATGGCCGACAACGTGAACACGATTACATCATACACTTCATTGGACAACGGCCCCTGAGCCATGAAATCTTATTTCAAGTTTTAGCGCCGTACCTTCAAGTTTCACATCTCGCGACCAAGTTCTCAGTTTTATTTCAACGACCAAGTAAAACGGAGCGAAGAAAACGATCTGAGAAACACCATCGATCAAAAGAACGACATAAATAATATAAATCCTTTTTTTATACTATATGTGTGTTTTTATGAAAATGTGTTGGGTTTAATTGATTTGCTGGTTATACGAAGAGAACCCAAAACTGACCCCGTCACCGAAAAGTATTTATAATTTACGTTTTATCTCTGAAACTGTCGTAAAATTGTCGACAATAAAAGGGTCCCGCACGTCCGGCAATGTCTGTGGCGATAAAATTTCGCGGGGAATAGCAGGAAACGTGCTGTTCGACAAGACTTCCAGACCCAACCGAACCGGCCGACGGTATTGTGGTAATAATATTTCTGCAATTCTCTCTCAGGTTGCCATTCTGTGTTACTGCTGCGCTCCCGCCACCGCCACCGCCACCGTCACCCGATTCCATCCGTTTCACTGAGGAGCGGCGCTAGCGTGGGAGGACGTGGGTATCTCCCGCTCCCACCTACTACAGGTTCTCAGAATTGTCCGGGTTTTGTCCTTCAAGATCGGACATTTTTCTTGTAGCGGTCTCACAATATGAATGTGACCTGGCGTATACACTGACGATCAAAATAAATTTACTTTTACACCGTTTAACGTTAATAAACGATCGTAACATTTATTTTCCTAGAACAGACTTATAAATCAAAAGAATTGTATTACAATACAAATCCCCTTTTAAATCGACAAATCAAAACACTGTCTATTTTTGGGTGATTCCCGAAAACTGCCCAGAAACACGAACTCCTTTCACGCTACACAAAAGCTTATTTCGTCAATAATCGTTCACATCGCGGGTAATAATCATAATAATCTCGTGGTGTGCTGTCGACATAAAAACAAATGGATATAGAGCGATAAATAAGGAAGCGTTATTAGCTTAACATTAATATTTGAATTCCCCCGAATAATGATTGATTTCGGTTATTGTTAGGGGGAGCGTGAGATTTTATTTACGCGAAATCCTCTTGTGAGCTTTTCACTATTCGAACGCGAACCGTACGGTATTTGCCTTGGGTGCTTTCCCGGGAGCGAGACCATTGTGCAAATAGAAAGAAATTCCACTAAAAGAATTTTAGTAGTAATATCTCCGATATGAAAACGTAAAGGCAAATATGGCTTTGAAAATGCCCAGGTGATCTTTATGTTTAAGGTGTCTTACTTTATGTAGCGGCTATTGTATTCACGACGGCTCAATTTATAACCTGAATATTTAATGAATATTTTTCAACCAAAATCTTATAAAAAATTAATTCAAACCGAGGTCGCTTGCAGCCGAAGCAGTACCATATCCAGAAACGGTCTTTTGGCTTAATCAGAAAAAGTTATACATTCTAATTGAAGTCGAGGTTGCTTGCGGCCGAGGCTATACATTAACCAGAAATGACACTGACGTCGATTCGTTTGATGTTGGTGGCATCTCGTTTTATGGCCTCGATTTAAAATTCGCCATCTTATCGAGGGTCATCAAAGGCGCATATTAGAATGAAAACATTATTGGATAGTTTACCACCAATAGCAGCAATAGCTTGGTGACCTTCTATAATATGGCGTCAGATGTTACCGACTCGATACCGCCAGTGTCGCTTCTGGTTATTCTGTGATAATACTGTACAATACATAATGTTGCGCCACATCGACAAACGATGTTGGTTTTATCACGAAAAGTGATGCATTTTAAGCGAAGCCAAGATCGCTCACGGCCGAGGCAATGTAATGGATACCATATTATAATGGCGTAGGTCGCTATAAACATGGATTTTAACAAGTTTTCAGAGTTTAAAGAATACTTAAATTTAGATACACTTTCAAACAAGAGAAGGTTATCAAAAATGTTTAATGAATTCTTATAGAATTGATAACTGTTAAATATTTATTTACCGGCGAGACGATAGCAACAAACCACTCAGCAACAAACTTTTTCCTTTATATTTCCACCTACTTCTAGGGCCCATATCTTCATTATCTAGAAAGATAGCGAAAAACTAACCACACGGTTGGAAAGCTTGGACTTTTCTCTATCATAAACCGAGTTTTCGTCCGCCGATATGTTGATAATAAGAGCAAGAAAAAATAAGAAACGTCTCGCTGCATTCAAATTACCTCAAAATTATCAAACTTCACGGCCTTGTGCAGCCGTTACCAGATGGAAATTCAATAAATGGTTTACATATTCGAAAAGAGCTGACCTTGGACTATCTTATTCCGAGTTTTCGTCCGTCAATATCTGTCGAATCGTTTATTTAGTTGGACGGATACGTTACATACAAACCGAGAGTTATAGACACTTTCTTTGTTTTCTTTTCTTTTTTTTGTAAGTTTGTTATAATTATTACTATTAGTGTTTATTCATTGATTTCATGTATTATTTTTTTTATTTATTTTTTTTTTTTTGGGTAAAGTTTAAGCAGTGTTTGTCACTGAACTTCGCCCTTTTGTACCCTTCTCAACCCTTTTTTCCTTCTATTTTCGGGATATAACAATTAAGTTATTTTCTAATGTTCTAATGTTATTTTGAGTTATAATTATTGGGTACAAATAAAGACATTTATTATTATTATTATTATATTATTATACTGCA